CAGGGCTGTGCGGCGCGGCAGGGTCGGAACACGCCTGCTCCAAGAGCGAGGTTGGGCAGGTACGAGGGGCTTCAGTGGGTTCTAAACTCGCTGCGCAGCTCGCTGTGATGGTGGGTAACTTGGAGCTTCAGCTGTGGAGCCTGCATAAACGGAGCCGGGGAGGGCAGGCTGAACCCTGGGTGTCCTTGGTGATCCCAAGCTTGGCACCCGGCCCTGAGACGTCCGGGTTTCCTGGGACGGGTCAGGAATGTGAGCCCAGCCCCGGGCATGTTTCTTCGTTGCGTTCCTGGGTGGTGTGGGCTGCTGTGGCCTGGCACCGCCGGTTCCTCTGCCCAGGCTCACGGCATTCATCCGCTGAACCTGCAGCGGAGCTGCCCGTGCCCTGAGCCGGGAGCCGAGAGGGAACTGCAGCCCTTCCTTCGCTTCTGGGGCGGTCAAGGGCTGTGTGGGGCGGGGAAGACAGCGGCAGGGGGCGGCGGGGGGGCGGGGGCGGCGGCGGGTGGGACGTGTGCTGTGTCTCGGTTGCTGTCATGTCCTGCCCCTACAGGGAGGTGTGCCTGGTTCCTTAGTGCTGCTCCTTTCCTCCTCCTGCGGGCTCCAGGGAAGTGGAGCCGTGCGGCTGTGGAAGAGCCTTCCTCCAGGCTTAGAGGAGAGGGGAAGCTGCTGGACGGACGGGGGTGTGGAGAGTGGAAGCCCGTTGGAGCGAGCGCCGTGCACATGAGGAACAGGACTCACTTCAAGTAAAGTGAAATTACAGTTTAGACAATTGGGACAAATAATCCCGTATTCTCAAGACCCACTAATAAATCACTGAAATCCAGGTGAATGTTGCCTCAGAATGAGGCAGCAAAGTGCCATTTCCTTCCTTGCGTTCCCACCAGAAAACTTTCAAAGAGTGCTAAGGGGCAGTTTGGAGATGAGTAGAGATGTGCTTGACATTTCCAGTTAATGGTGTTCCATAATGGAAGGTGAAAAGTGCCAGCAGGCCCTGGCGTGTATTTGTGGTTTGTGGGACTGCACTGACAGCAAAAGGCTGTTTTGGCTCAGGGACTGTTTGTTTTGGTATTTTACTTCTATGATCTTAATTCTGGTACTTAAATATGGTGTATACATGAAACAGGGTGGGGAGGCCCTATGTTCTCCGGTTACGAAGGATGCCATAGCCAGAGACACAAATGTGTCCTTGGGTCTGCCATGACTGGGATTCTGGATTGTGTAAGTCCCATTTTTACCCCTTCCAGGTGATCTCTGAGACATGGCTACTGTCGAGATGCTCCAATCCATGAGGTCCTCCACAAAGGCTGGTAGATTCCAGACGAAGGTGGTAGCACCTCATAATCTGGAGCTAGTCAGAGAGGCAGAGGAGTCTGGAACTGTAAGTACATGCTATGGACCAGGAAGGAGCTGTGCTTTCAGGGAAGGTCCAGAGTCTTGCCTGGATGTGCTACTAGAGCAAAGTTCAAAGAACATACTGGGCATTGCACTGGAGTAGCTGAAACATGAGTGCGTGCTTCTGTCCATCCTCTTTGTGTGGGCAGTCATACCTTCTGTCATGTAGACATAGTTGCCAGTGCTACTCTGGCCATAAGTGCCCTCCAAGCAGTATGGTGGGCTGCTGAAACTCTGCCCCAAGGCTTGAGACACATGGCTGGTCCCAGATAGAACAACTGTTTTGGAACCTCTTCTATCTCCTATCCTGTGTGGAGGACAGCAAGCAGCAGTGGAGTGAGGGCAATTCCTCCATCCCATTCACAAATGTCCCCTTTGCTGACTGGAGCCCACTTGACTGGCAGTGACCTCGTGCCAAGGCTCTGTCAAGGAGATATCTCTGTATACTTCAGGGGAGAGGTCTGTGTGACCCCTCAGAGACAGACAACAGAGAGAAAACAAGTGCTAGTTAAAAAGCGATCACTACAACTTGGACCCATTCTTCTTCACCTCAGTCACAGAATCATAGAATCATAGAACGGTTTGGGTTGGAAAGGACCTTAAGATCACCTAGTTCCAACCCCTTGCCATGGGCAGGGACACCTCACACTAGACCGTGTCACCTTGTCCAGCCTGGCCTTGAGCACTGCCAGGGAGGGAGCAGACCTGGCACAACGCTGCTTTTCTGCTTTCCTCTGATTTACCCAGCAGTGACATCTCCACGTGTGTGTTGGTTGTGAGCGTTGTGCAAGGATGGAGTTCAGGGTTTTTTGGGAACTCTTCCCTACTCCCTGCAAAGGTCACTGGCTCAATCCCGCAAAACTAAAGAGGAAACAAATACCTGAAGAGCAGAAATCCCCAAGCACAAGACATCAGACCGTGAAGGAGAAGCTCATGGTACAGAGGCACTTGGTGAGAGCATGTGTATTCCGCTCTCAGTCGTTGATTTACTGATATTAAATATTTCATGAGGTAACTTCCAGGACTATCCTTTGGGTGTGATTACACATTATTCATCAGTGGCGCTTGAACAAGAAAAGCCTTTCTGAGCACAGGCGTTCTGTAGCTTTTGCTGGTGTTTTCTATTTCAGCTGACTCCCTCTGCCTTCCTGAAGGAGATGTCTCTCAGCACTGAGCAGAGGCTGGCCAGCACTCGGGAGATGAGGCGGCCCCGGATTATCCAGCTTGGGGACATGAGTGAAACCTCCAATGGAAAGGTAGTCTTTTCCTGCCCTTTCCCTTGCTGTTTGATGTGGCATTTGAAGAGGGCACATGCTTGTAACAGGCTTGCCCCCAGCTTACCTGAGGAGCTCAGTGAGTAGGTCCTGTTGCCATTTCAAACGTGGTGGTGGAGTTCCTTCTACTGGGGGAAAGGTAAAACATTTTTCTCCAGTGAGACTGTGGGACCAGTGCAGCTGGAAGAGGGGAAAAACAGCTCACAGTAATGCCTCTGCTCTGGAAGCATTTGCTGTTTGTGTATTCAGACATGCTTCTGCAGTAGTATTAAATAAAACAGCAATAATGGAATACACTAAAGCATCCATTCAGAGGTCATGGAAAAAGAAGATACTAAGTCCAGTCTTAGTCCAATTGCCCAATAATGCTGAGAAAAGAGCTGAATCTTACCACCATCCAGCATTCACCTCATTGGTCTTTTTTCCTAACTACTGTGTTACTTTCTTTTTGGTCTTACGTCCCTGGTACTGCTGTCTTCTTACTGGTTTCTAGGCTCTATAAAGAAATAAAGACATTTGGGCATGTGTGGGACTTGGTCTTGCTCTCCGGGAGTAAAGATCATCCCCAGTTGTTTCCCTGTGGAGTCTCATTGAAATTCTCGGGGTTTGCTTCCTCTGTGAGTGCTCATGGCTCTTTCAGTAAATCTCTGGAGCTGAGTGACTGCATTAGCAGCGGGCTCTGCTGGAGGTAAGCACTGCCTTGCATTTTGGAGAAGGAAACCTGAATAAACACCCACCAAAAGACCTTCTTCTTTTGGGGCTGTTCAGCATGGTCCAGAAACATTTGATCAGCTCAGAAGATGGGTGGGTGTGCTGCCATCTCCTTCATGTGAGCTGGGCACATGTACTCACCAAGAGACGGTACTTCACTGGAGATCGGTGTAGGATTCTCATTCATTAATGTATGTCCCAGCAGCTGAACCTCTCACTGCTGTGTCTTGCATCTCCAGTTCTCAGCAGTTGACCTGGACCAGAGCTTGTTTCAGCCTTTCCCATCAGAGGTGGTGTTTCAGAACTACCTTCCTTGCGAGGTCTGTGAAGTGCCACTGATTCTGAGGAACAAAGACAAGGTAAGTGCTGGGACATGGAGGTTTAACACTGTGGTGGAAGAGGAGAGCATATATACAGCATAGCAAGTTGCCTGCTGCAGCACAGCACATCTGGAATAAAATGTCTCACCACTCTTACTTTGCAAGATGTTGGAAATCTTCTCATGCTGCAGATTCTCCCTCTGATTTTGGCTATGGGTTGGTGGTATCTAACCCAAAGGAACTTTTCTAGGCAGCGTGCTTCCTGTTGAAAGCCCTGGATTGATGGGAATGTTGAGGGCTGTATAGTTCGTACTTGCTCAGATGCTTTACCTTGAGTATGCACCATGTCCTGGTGGCTCCTTGGTTAATCGTGGTTTCTGGCAGGGCATTTTTCCTCTCTCAGACTGTTTAGCTGCCTCTGTGCAGCTCACTGTCCACTTTATGGTGGAATAAGTTACAATTTGTGGCATTAGCACCCCAGGAAAGGTGGTTTTGAACAGCAGTGGAAACAAAACGATTTAGTGGAAGCAGTGGGGAGGACTTCAGGTGTCACTTTAGGCTCCTGCTAAGCACAGCACAGCCAGGGTAATGTGCATTTTGGGCAATCTTTGCTGTAAGTATCCACTTTTCTTATTAAAATAGGCCTCAGTTTCTCTTTTTCTACTGCTCTGCTTCACTCCTTCTAAGTCTTTTGGCTTCAGCTGCTCCATTATCCACACAAAATGTTTGTCTCTGTCAAGTACCAGGTGAACAGTTAATTTGCTTCCCCAAGTGGAAAAGCACATCTGCATTAATATTCCTGCTATTCCCCAGTAAAAAATTATATACTTGTTCAGCTGCACCTTGGGATTTCTATACCCTGTAAAAGGGAGGCAATGTGTGAACTGTTGACTTTATCCAAAATTCTGAGGGGGAAAAAAAAATGTTCTGAAGCCAGTAAGACCTCCACCATTGGACAGCACTGGTGTAAAAGTAAGATTGTCTCTAAGGAAAATTCTTGGCATATTTAAGTACACAAAGATAGAGATGATAATCCCAAAAGAGGTTATGATGTTCTCCCTTTGCTGGCTTTTGGTAAAGTCTTGAAGAAAAGCAACACTGTGCTCTGTCTCAAAGTTTTCTCACCAGTTTCCCAGATTCCTCTGAATCATACTGCATGGTAGCCTGATGTTGTCTGCTCCATAAAAATCCAGCTAACAGCAAAGCGTACTCCAAATGGAGGATATTGCTGGCTCCGTAAGCACTTAATCCCAGAAGTGCTTCACTATATACTTGCTGCTCTTACCTATATGCTGTAAAATTCTTTCTTGTCTTCAGGCTGCTTCTCACCACCCTCAGAGATGTTCTGAGTGGCTTTTGATGAAGATTGTTGCCACCTGTGCTCATCTCCCAAGGGAGCTGGTGGCTAAAATGCTTGTCTGCAGTATGAAATTGGATCCTGGAGCTCACAGCAGCAGAGCATTGCTGGGAGCAAAGGATCTTTGCGAAGCTCAAGACTGCATTGGCCATGGGTTATCAGGCTCGGGTGGGTGGTGTGGAATGAGTCTCCATGTTTTCCAAGCCTCATGTGGGTTTGTTGTTTATCATAGAATCATACAATGATTTGGGCTGGAAGGCATCTTTAAAGGTCATCTAGTCCAAACTCCCCTGCAATGAGCAGGGACATCTTCAACTAGAGCAGGTTGCCTTGTCAGTGAAGCTGCCTGTCAGTCAAACCTGTTTTAGACTTTCTGAGATGAGACTTCATACTCAGGGGTTGATACCTGCGTGCTAGGAAGTGCCTGCTTGCTGTCTCCATGCATGTGGTATCCCAGAGGGCAGAAACCTGCAGCAGGGTGCCTGCAGGGATGCCTGGCTGTGGGGACGAATTCACAGACATCTGGCTTTGCTGCAGTGGCAACTGCCTGGCTGCAAGCACCAGGCCGCGAGAGCCTCTGGGAATCTGTGTTTGGCTTTTCATAATGAAACCACACTGTGAGTCAGTGCTATCACATATCTCAAGGCAGAAAATGCCATTGAAGCCCATAATTGATAGGTACAGCCTGGGGGGTTGTCTGGCTTTCCATCATTTATGCAAGTTGACTGCTCTCATCTTCTGCTTCAGCCTTTCCTTGTAGCGTGTTGTGCTTTTCCTTTGCTTCTTTACACCCGCCTTTAAATTCTTTTAGCCATCCCCTTCTTTCTGGGTGTTTTTTTTATCTTGCTATGCTCCTCCTTTTCCTCCTTAGGTTTGCTTTTATTCCCAGTAAGGCCACAATGTCTGTGGTCTCCTTCTCTTGCTGGTCTGCCAGCATGACTAGCACAATAGCTTGACTGCCTCACTAAAACTTGGTATGTTAGAAGTGAGTTCCTTCCTTCCTCTAGTAAAACACATACTATTTTGCCTTCAGAGATACATTCCCCCTCTAGAGGCATGGGTGCGTACAGGCAAAAGCAACCAGGTTCTTTGGTCTTGTTGAATATACTGGTGACTTCATTCAGGTGTTTCACCTCTGTGTTCCTGGTGCATTATCTGCTTGGTGCTTCTTTCACAGCAGTGCACTGCCCTGCTGCCTCTGGCCTAGAGCTGTTTGCCCTGGCAGAAGGGGTTCAAGTCCACCCTTGTGTATTATGTGAGCTAAAAGTGTTTTGGAAAGGTGGCTAAGGAGAGATGTCACCAGGGCATGGCCAGGTCTCCTCTCCCCTTGTTTCCACAAGTGGCAAAATAATAATTTCATGTCTGTCCTGCAGGTTCCTCGGTTGGTGAAGCTTGTCTTTGAAAACTCGCCTTATTTCAAGTTGATCAGCCCCGATGGTGGGAGCCATAAGGTAGCACCTGGCATGTCTTTAACCTTCCACATCCTTTTCACCCCTGAGGAGAACAAGGTGAGACTGGAGGTCCCAAGAGATGGTGCCTTCAGTGGAAGGTGGACCTGCAGGGCTGGTTTCAGAACAGGGTATCTGGTGGGGGTTTTGAGGAACTGTCCTGATTCAGTGGAGTTGCACTGGATCTAGAACTGAGAGAAACTCTTTCCTCATGATGCAGGTTATGCTCGCATAGGCTGGAGGCTCTTACATGTTTCTGACTGTTTTCATCCTTCAGTGCTAGAATACGTAATGTAAGGTCTGTTGGCTTCAGGCATGAGTATTCTCTGTGGTAAAGTGGCCTCTCAGAGTGTTGGTTTCTCATATCTGTCCATTGCTACATAATGATGTGTTTGCTGCAATAATTTTAAACACAGAACAAGGAACAAGCAATAGGACAAGAGGAAATGGCCTCAAGCTGCAACAGAGGAGGTTTCAGTTAGAGATTAGGAACAACTCCTTCCCCAAAGGGTGCTCAGGCATTGAAACAGGCTGCCCAGGGCAGTGGTGGAGTCACTGTCCCCAAAAGTGTTCACAAACCATGTAGATGAGGCCCTCAGTGACAGGGTTTAATGGTGGCCTTGGCAGTGCTGGGGTAACGGTTGGACTTGATTATCTTAAAGGTCTTTTCCAACCTGGTTGATTTTATGATTCTATCACAAGTGTGATGAAGAAGTCTGTTTAAAACTGACCAGTTATTTGGAGGACCCAAAGTTGAGCCTGATCAGAGTGAGGACCACCACCTCTGTAAACTGCAGTCCCTTTAGTGTTTATCATGTTGGACACAGCAGTGAGACAGCAGCACGTTATCCTAAAGCCACTATTTTTCTTGTACTTTCTGGCATTTTCTGTGGGTTACAGTCCATAGTGCACTATGAGACTTTCTCCAGGCTGTGGGCAGGCAGTCTGCAGCTAGTCACCTCTTGGCATTGTGTGGTGCCACTGGCCACTGCAGTTGGGACTGACCGGCTGTGCTTTCCCTCCCTGTGCTTTCTTGAGCATTCATGAGGGAAGATGCACATGTACCAGTAGGGAAATGTCAGGGAGAGGTATTGACAAGATGTTTAGCCCTCTCTCTACTGAATGGTAGGGGTTCAATTATTATGGAAGTACTAGAGGAACGAATAGATCCAGAGAGCTTTTCTCTTTCCCGTCTGGCAACCACTTCCCTGCCTAACCCTAGGCTGGAGCAAAGCTGATGCTTTCTTATACCCTGGAGTTTCAAGCTTTGCAGCTGCTCTGTCCTGAGGATACTTATCTGCCTGCATCCAGCCGTGAGTTCAGGGCAGAGCATGTGCTGTGCACATGGCAGGGACTTTTTTCTGGGACGTTGGGACAACAGTGCTGTGGGCCTGGCAAGTCTGATTCTCTGTGATGTGAAGGGTCACGGGTGTTATCCGGAGGCTTGTTATACAGAGGGATTTTGTACACGGCATGGAAAGGAGGAAGCACTGCAGGGAAATGAGGGCAGGCCGGCTGACTCCTTCCACCAGCATCCTGCTGCCTCTTTGCATGACTTTGGTTGAGAGCCAATGTTAGGGGATAGCTCTGCACCAGCTGATGTTTCCACACCAAGCCGTAGGTGCAAGATTCCTTTGAGCATAACTGTTTTCTCATCTTCCATTTGCTGCTTAGGTTTAGTTGAACACTTTGTCCTATCCTCAGACAGCATGGGTAGAGAAACCTGAAGAGGAACTGCCCTGTGGTCCCTAGTTACCCATGCTTGTACAGTGTGGGTGTTCTTGTGCCACCCTGTGTTCCTGCGTGTCCTCATGTTATGTTACTTACATCTGATCATGTAGACAGTCCAGGACGTGAAGTGCCCAGGTAATAGATGCTTTGAATTCACGCGGGCTGTCCTTAGCTTTTAGTGTAGAAGGCTTAGGATGCAAAATTGAGTACAGAATTGCTAATTCAGAAAGACTTGCTGAAGATGAAATGCTGTCCTTGAAATGTGATATTCAGTTCTGTAGGTAATTTCCTGTATTCCCTTCCTGGCATTTTACCTTCCAAATGCAAGAAGCAAAAGCCCTTACACAGTTTCCAGTCTGAATATCTTAGATGTCTAAAAGAAAAGATCCTTCTTTATTCTCTTTAAGTCTTGGATGTGACAGCATCTGTTATGGTGACCTTAAACCCTAGCTGAGGGTTTAAGGTTTAGCTGTTGTGTTATAGCAATAGCTTCCTGTCTGTGCCTCATCTGGCTGCCTTAGGTCCCTTCCAGGCTCGAAGAGGACAAGTATAGAAGCAGGAAATCCCAAGTGCAAAGGAATCTGGATTGGTTCTGATTAAGGGAGTTTGCTGCTGTGTGCAATTCCTAAATCAAATTGTCTGCTGGTACTTCAACAGTTACAAAAATATCAAAGGAGTTAAAAGCACTGAGGAGAAAAGATCAGGACAGCAAGCAGGTGATAAGAGGCAGAGCTCTTACCAAGTCACCAGTAAGGGAGCTGCTGGAGGCAGTGGCTCCTAGCCCTACTGCAGCAGTTTGACCACTGGTTTCACTGGGGGCAAGGCGATACTTCCAGCACAGCAATGCCACACTGTACATCTGGGGATGGATCTGTACATCCTTACGGGAAAATGCTGTTAGTGATTTGATTTGCCTTCTCCTGCT